GTTAACATTAACACATTAACTTTACATAAACTGTAGCCTCCCCTTAGTTCTGTTTTCTATATAAAATTGTAGCACGACTGGGACAGCTAGAACACTACTAGTTGTCAACCAGGTAGCTCAGTTCTTTAAACTGACAATAATAATAAAAGGTGGACCAGGGCCCGTATTTATGGAACCGTTCTCATGCTCAAGCATGGATTCTGTGCTCAAATCAGCTAGCTTGTAACTTGCTTAAATCATGTGACACGATAAAAATGTTTAGTGGAAACATTTTAAAACAGCTTTCTGCATGAAGTCTCCTCAAAGTTCGTCCAAATCATGGACAAAATGGACTTAATTATTTATCTTTTCATTAAAGAACTGCGAGGTATTTTTGTTTTTGCAGAAATGATTAAATCAAATTTATAGTCATACTGCAAAAGAAGTTTCCAATGTGTAGTCGGAGATTTTTGCAGTTGTATGCAATACCTTTGGGAAAAGAAATAAAGACAATTTATTTCTAATGTTGCATCAAACAATATTTTAATGGTCCATTTAATAGCTATGTTAACAATTAAATTCAATAGTTACTTTTTACAACAAAGTAATATTATCAATAATATTTCACAATAATATCCTGTATTTCACTTGTAAAGTTAATCTGAAGATGAATGTACTTGCAGGAAACCTTGTACTGCAGTGGTAAAAATGTAATTAAGATGCACAGACATGTTGAAAGCAAACTTTTTCCAACACGTAAATTTCTATTCTTTAATTTTTTTAAGAATACATTAATAAAAAGATTTGACAGGTAATTTGAAGTTCCTTAATTGATGATATCGGGAACAAAATCAATACTGAATGGATGAGCATTTAAATTTTCTGTGAATCATCTATCAAAGAGTCTTAAAAGATGTTGCTTCTGTGGTATTTATACAGCTTAACATCTTTTAAATTTATTGTTTTCAAAGCATCAAATGTATTATTTTCCCAAAACATACCACAAGAAAAGCCATTCAAAAACCTAATGGGGTGTGAAATAACAATGCATCCTTACCCAATTACCTCCCTTTATCTCCTCCGTGACCAGCTGCCAGGTCAGACTCGACCATCTAGGATATCACAACGCCCGCTAATTTGTTATGCCTAACTAACTCATAAGCCAATATAGGGACAATGGTGGGCATCGTTTTATTCCCTAATGGACCCAGTCAACTAGATGCTCAGTGTTGTGAAAACAACCATTAATTACAAAATGTCCCACTACGCCTCCCTCAGGGCAGGTTAGAATGTCTCTAACAACACACTGACCGCGAAATGGCACCCAATTTTCATAGATTTCTTGTCTTAATACTCCATGTCTGCGAAATGTTATTAAAAGTCTTTCTTCCTTTCCCCTTTTGACTGCAGAGACCAATATACCTGCAAGATGACTATAAGTCTTTTCTGCAAATCTTCCAAAACAAATCAATCAATTATTTCGTTTTTCTTTGTCTATTTTACTTCCCCTAAAAGAAGTGTTGAACTCAGCTAAATCAATTGAACGGATTATTTCAATATGAAAGTTGGGGGGGAAATAAATACAACTTGTGTCACGATCTTCCATAACCATTAAACGAAAGTCCCCTAGTTAATAGAATCAATCATTACTCTGCTACTTCAATAGATTTTGAAACATACATCATCTTTTATTGAAATGCAGGTTTGATTTAAGGATATTGTTGTTCCTATATTGATCCCAGTAACAACTGGCAGCCTGTTATTGATTCACACCACACGAATCCATCAAACATTTATATGGGTATATTGAAAACGCTTCCGGGCAAACATAGGGTACTCTGCCTACAGTACATCACAAACATGGTCTGGTAGAAAAAAAAATACACAGTCAGCTATTTAGCTAAGTAACATACCTGAGCTAGGTACAGCAGCTGTACTCAAATCAATTGCATAAAATTATGGTCCTTAACCCTTTTACCACCGTAGACCATAATTGACTCATCCAGATCAATGCATGGAAGAGTCTGCTAAACCTACATAGGGGTGAAAGTGTTCAAATTTCTGTAACATTCTTCAACTTCAGAAATTACCTAATTTATTTATTTCCTTGGGAAAACATTGCTGACTATTTGAAGAAAATTTCCTGATTTTCATTAATTCCAGCAACACTTTTCAAAGTTCAGTTCGTGAAATAGGAGCCTGCTGGATTTGGTTGAGTGCCAATGACCAGATGTCTCTCCAAAGGTAACATCCACTGATTTGCAAGATTACAGTTTATAATCCCATTCTGACTCACAGCATTTCAGAATGAGCCAATCCCCATCCAGTGACCAGGTAGTTCAGGTTACTTTGTTGGTACATCTTACTAGTTTAAAGTTTAGGTATAACATCCTGGATAGGGTCTATCATTGGTGTTCTGATACCTTAGACTATACATTTCAGATTGTCATTGTCTCAGGTCACAAATTTGAATACTAATCGAACTCTAAAGGTCAAAGGTTTGAATTCTTGCTTGACTCTCAAGGTCACAGGTTCAAATCCTAGTCTGACTTCAAGGTCACCATGCAGTTTAAGGCTTTGTCGGACTCTTGAAGTCAAAGGCTAAAAGCCTGGAATGACCCTCAAGGTCACAGGTTAGAATCCTAGGGTATATGGCCACTTGCATTTTGGACTGAATAAATCACTAGTTTTCAGGGTAGCTCATGCAGTTCATGAACCTTTTGTGTAAGAATGTTGAGGTCCCTAAGTTGTTCAAATCTTGGTCTATACTCAATGCATTCTCTTCCATCTTATTTAAAAACGTATATAACTTGTAAATGGGAAACATGAACCCTTGTTACAAGTACATGGTGGCAAATAGTTTACTCCAACATTGGTGATGTACATTATACCGGGTAAGTTTATCTTAAATGGCACGATGTTTCAAAAAGGAAGGACAATAAATATATACAGACTGCTAGGAGAAAGTATGGAGACAATCCGGCGCTAGATTTGCTACCAATGACTTCCGCACCAGTGGGGTTATAATTAATACTAGCATCATATATCAACAGAATGATTGTTCAGACATTTTTACATAACAATCAGGCTTCTTTACTCCAGACAAGTCTGTTGCTATATCAGGATTTCCGGAACAATTTTTTTTTTTTTCTATAACAGTATTTCACCTAAAACAAACCCATGTCTAAGTTGCACCCCAAATTATTCTTCATTATCATTATTATGGTTTTGACATAGCTCCAGATGCTCTTTCTGTACGTAAAGAGTGTTTTTAACAAATGAACAAATCATTTTAGCTCCAAAACCTATACGACAATGATAAATGTCATTGTATGGCAAGTAGTTTTTCTCTCTAATGTCAATGATATAAGCCCCTTAATTTTCTTGATTTTGTAAGCAAACTGCACTCCTTAGTAACATATACTCAGAGGCATTTTCAACTAAACATTTTACTGCTATTTAACCCTTTCACCACTGCAGACCAAAATGGACTCATCCATATCAATGCGTGGTAGAGTCTACTGAAGTTACATAGGGGTGTCAGTTTCTCAAAATTTGCTAGCTTTCCAAGAAATATCTAAACATTTTTTTTAAATTGTTTCTTTTCTCTTTGTGTTTAATTCCACAAAAAGGTTTTTAATTTCAACCAGCCATCCTTTTTTTTATAAACTGTGGAACATGAAATTTCAGTTATCAATTTAAAAAAAAGTTTTGAGAATATCTCCAATTTTTAATATTAATGAAATTGGCAGAAAGATGACAAGACTATCCCGATATTGAATCTTCTATAAAACTGTCAGCCCAGTGACAGAACAGTGCGTAATTATCGTGGGGTAGGAGGATAAAATCATAATGGTTCATGTTATGTCTTTTACAAATCTGATCAATTTTAAATCAATTTTTTTCCCTTCATTGTAAATATGCCTCTGTCAGGTGAGGTGCAAATTAATTTTTCAAACCTTAATTAAAAACTTCAGTCAAATGTATCAATCACAAACAAAAATGAACAGTCGATAGCGAAAGTGAGCGTGTCATCGGTGAACAAAGTCTGCCTGTGATCTTGACGAGATGGGTATTGACATTGTTAAAGTTTCACACTGAGGCATTTAATTTTCGCCATAGGAGCAAAAAAGAAATGAAAAAGAAATGAAAAGGCAATACAATGGAAGGAGAACGAAATAACTTAGGCCACAGGTGAGGGTAATCATCATAGATTTATTGTAATGCCGAAGTTTATCCACATTTTTAATCAGGTTTTGGATAAATCGGGAGCTCCTTGAGAAGGGGGTGTGGTCAGGGAGCTTTGAAAAATTCAGTATGATCAACTTACTTAACACAAAAATCCATTTCTAACTACACAATTTTTTTAACCATTTTTTCAGTTAAAGCTGAAATAACATAATTGTTTTAAATGAAAATAGATGAATCAAGATACTGATATTGAAAATAGTTGTAGAATTCAAAAATGTAGGTACAGATTAATAATTTTGATAAATTTGAAATAATCTGGAAAGCTAACAAGGCTTTTAAGATTTGTACTCTGGACCCAACATTAACAGGTTGGTGAAATGTGTATTGGACATCAACCATCTCACCTGTGTCCTACTCCCAACACCAATAAAACACCTATACCCATCCGAGTACATTAAGCTTGCGGATAACGACATCCAAGTTCCTGACACACAGGTATATAAAAGGGCCAAAATGCCACAGGTAACAACTTTGGGGCCAGGTGCTAACAGCTAGGGTGTTGACAGAAAACATTGAATTGTTTACTGTTAAAAGGTTATGTAAACAAATATGGATTGTCCATTTTATCAGAGCTATATAACCGTAAATGTACCTGTAACCATTCATAATGGAAGTACTTAACCACTATACCCCAAATCTCTAGAACGGAAACATTCAATCTCTGCTATCATTGCAGCTTAATCCCCTTATTAAAGTTATGTCAATATCCTCAGAGTGGACATTAATGAAAAATTTAATATACGTTCGGACATGCATTCAATGCCACTTACCTGTAATCAAAGTTGATAATCACCTGTCGTAGGTAAATGGGGACCAGGTAACGAAAGTTCCTTGACACAACAATTTCCACAAATTTGTTAAGTTCAAACTAACAACAACCATCCAGTATATAAACGGTTATCTTTTTTTTCTGTCACAGGACGAATGTTGAACAGTTGATCTGAACTCTTCTGATGAGTTCGTATAAATTGAATTTCACAAAAGAATACTGTCCAATTAGGTCGAGTTGAAATACAGATCACCTGGTTCAATCCACAGGTAGCTCAGTCAGGTCCTGAAAGGAGAACAAACAATTAGGGAATAGAATAGTGTAATAATTGACGGTCATTTCTGTGTGACACGCTCTAATGAGGCTACAAGGCCGATCTAGACATTTACTAAACAGTATAAAGAAAACAAAAATCGGTACCACGAAAAGACAGGGTGGTTACAAGGGTCCGACTCCGCCAGAGGTATACAGCCAATACTGAAATGTCACCACAAAGTATTGCTGTTTTCCCGCCCCAATATACATACAATATATATATATATATATATACATTGGAGAGTTGTCTTATCTGCATGGATAAAGTAATCCCCTATATTCAAACAACAGTTTAATGAAGATTACATCCTGGGGTTGTATGACAAGAGCTACGACACCGAAAAGGGACCAATCGGCTAAACAAAAACCAGATAAGGGAGGGTCTAACATGCCGACGTGTGTAACGCCACCTACCAAACGCGACATTCCGACGGTGGTGACTGTGTGCCACACTGGAGATAAATTTGTTGTGCTGGTACTCTCCATCAATAGCCTAATCAAAGCACTGTACAGCAGGACGGTAATGGCTCGCAATGTCTTATCGCTGGAGAGTATGAAAGGGAACCTGGCATAACGGCACTCGCCTCTCGGCACGTTCAACAGGACACATGTATATAGGCAATCAGCCAAAAACCCAGACCGATTGGCCATAGTATGCACCGACATTCCCTAGACAAAAAACATTGACCATCACAATCTTGGTGTTATTAAAATCATAGCTTGACGGGATGATAGACTTAAATTCAGACCCATGGCCAAAATGATCCTCCACCAACCCATTTATCATCACAAATTTGGTTTTCTCACTGTCGTGGTTTGATCTGATGATACACTTTTGAAATCATCCAGAAAAACGCGGACCAACACAGTAATGGTTTTGATACAATTATAGGTTGACCATGATAGATTTAAATTCAGAACTTACCTATTGAACAATACATTACAATCTATTTATCACATGTATTGTTAAATCTAATGCTTGACCTGTGATAAAATTTTGACGACAATAATTATTTTTCCTTATTTCTATTTGTGTGTGTACGTTGTAATATGTGTTTTTTCATGAAATTGCATTTCATTATTTTGCCTGATTTCTGTGTTACATTGATTCTGTTCATTTTAAAATTACTCTACCAGGCTGCTAAGTGTCATGAAATGTGTATAATTTATACAAATGCGGATCCGTTTCACAGTTTACACAATTTTCTTTTACTAGGTTACACCCTAAAAAACTCTCCCAATACAAAAACATGCTTGACCATCAGAACTGAAAGTGCTAAATTCAGGTCCTGATATCAAAACTTGGGCTCACGTTCCCTATCTTAAAGTGTTGACCATCACCATGCAGTTCTGCAAAGCCTCTGATTAGAGTATTAATACAAATTTTCAAAATGTAAATTTTGAAAAAAATTATAAATATTTTTTGCTTTTTTATTGTTTTCTTCAGATGATCATTCTCAATCTATCTACATGGACTTTTGTTTATCATCAGAATTTCAATACTTCAGCAGTCTTGATGATAGACTTAAAATTTAAATAAAACCTTTGATAAAAATATGGATCTTCCTTATGTGTTACATAATCCCTTAACCAAAACACTATAAGTATCACAATTAAAATCACGAATTGTTTTGGTAATGAATTTGATGAAAAACATTGGTCTTTATATTCCCTTGAAATAAAAAAACCCATCACAATCTTGATACTATCTATCACTTTCTGTCTTTGACCCCCAGACTATAAACGGCCAACATAGGCCAAGCGTTTCAAAGTCTGGTTAGCTTAACGAGGCATTATCGCAAAACTTTCAAGTCGTTTAGTTAGAAAAGATCGAATTTAAAAAATGAATTTTCATGTGAATGGAGTGAAAAAACGACTTCTTAAGGCAAGAAACAGAAAAACATTTATAAAATTGTTAAGGATTCTCAATAAGATAGGTTTTAAAATTCATCGAGAAGATCGGTTAAGCTTACTATAAAGTTTTTAACAACCAGGCTGGCTGGGTCAAAACATTATTAATCTAAAATTTAAGTCAAAACAAGGACTACAGTAACACGTATGTTTCAACCAATCAAAACCTAAACAAACATACCAATCTTATGTTCTACTTTTAGTGAGGTAATTATTCAACTGATAAAAAAATCATTTATTTTCTGAGGCACAAAATTTTGACAAGAGTATATATATTAATAGTCTTTAATGTCAAATATAAATTAAATATGCATGATTACCTTGATGTCAGTGAAAACAATCCATTGCATATGTTTTGCTTTTGACCTAGTTTGTGACATCAGTAAATGATATTGAAATGACATTGTAGGCTTCCACATTTAAGATCACATATTTCATTATAACAATGTCATTCTGTATGGGAGCCAAATCAGTCACACTGTGTGATCATATAGTGGTACACATTGCCCAAAACCTGCAGACTTATAAGGGCTGAAAATAGTATAATCATTACATAAGTCCTATTTGCTGTTCCAGTCCATTGTCTAAAATGAATTGAATCGAAACTGTATGTGAAATTACATCGGGTAAATTATCGCATGATCTCTGAGCTAACCATAGCCTTTCAGTGCCAGACAAACTTGCAGTATAAAAATGACCAAGAAGACTTAGTATTCACAAGCAAATTTGGCAATTTGGAGGTTTGATATAAGCCCCAGACATTTAGTGATGCATGGATGAACTGACGGACAGATCATGCAAACTTGGAGGCGCGGTAAGTCTAGTGGTAGGAGGCAGGGCTCGTGACCGAAGGGTTGCAGGTTCGAGTCATGTCACGGCACTGGGTTGTATCTTTGAGAAAGATACTTTAATTACTCCGCTTGTTCCAGTTTACTAAGCTGTAAATGAGTACGTGGTGGGGAAGTGCTAGAACTGTTGAATGCTAGCTGTGAGCACTGAAATGGCAGCACCATGCAGCTGTATGCTACCCCAGGGAGTTAAGAAAGATATTGGCTGCATGCATGGTTGCAAAGGCCCTATAACCACGGATACTAAATTGTGAACCGCCTTGAGACGACCTTCAAACTAGGTTGTAATAAAATTGTATATAAGAACCTCAAATTATAATTATATTATTATTTTAGTCCCCTCTAGTAGTGCAATTGGTGACAAATATAAAAGTGTTTAGTTGGATTGCTGGACATTTTCAGGACAGTACTACAGTAATACTTTTAAAAGAAAATTAAGGGTTAGATTTCAGACACTGTTTTGATTATATATCAAATTGTTACATCGATGATACAAGTAGTTTTGCATACAAAAGTTAGGCTCTAAGTTTCTGTTTCATTTGTACGATTGTTTTCATTAATTGTTATGTCACAGCTGAAGCCAAACCTGGAAATCCATGCAGCCAGTGATAATGTCACACGGACAGTAAATGTTTATGCAACGGAATACTACCGGAACTCATATGATACAGTGAATTAAGTGATGAATGAACGTCTGTCTGGATCAACAGACGATTTGGTCGCAGATGTACAATAAAACAATGCATGGAAAAAAAACGCAGACAAAAACCTAGACCATTAACAAATAACTTATAAACATATGCAGCAAGTATATTCAAACCTTGCTAAAACTTCCTAAGGGATTGAATAAATCAACAAAAAAACAAAGTCTAAAGAAACAACTTTATTTATATGGACAAGTATTTTCACAGTTTACACAGACAAGTATTAAAGAGAGTTTTCATTGACATGTAAATCTACACAGTCCAACCTGTGTTAAAGAGTTAACCACCATGTCCAAGAGACTACCTCTATTAGGAGACCAACATGTCCAAGAGACTACCTCTATTAGGAGACCAACATGGCCAAGAAACTACCTCTATTAGGGGACCACTATGGCCAAGCGACTACCTCTATTAGGAGACCACCATGTACAGTCCAACCTGTGTTAAAGAGTTAACCACCATGTCCAAGAGACTACCTCTATTAGGAGACCAACATGGCCAAGAAACTACCTCTATTAGGGGACCACTATGGCCAAGAGACTACCTCTATTAGGAGACCACCATGGCCAAGAGACCACCTCTATTAGGAGACCACCATGGCAAAGAGACTACCTCTATTAGGAGACCACCATGTCTAAGAGACTACCTCTATTAGGAGACCAACATGGCAAAGAAACTACCTCTATTAGGGGACCACTATGGCCAAGAGACTACCTCTATTATGAGACCACCATGGCCAAGAGACTACCTCTATTAGGAGATCACCGTGTCCAAGAGACTACCTCTATTAGGAAACCACCATGTCCAAGAGACCACCTCTATTAGGAGACCCCCATGGCCAAGAGACTACCTCTATTAGGAGATCAGTATGTCCAAGAGACTACCTCTATTAGGAGACCACCATGGGCAAGAGACTACCTCTATTAGGAGACCACCATGTTTAAAAGGCTACCTCTATTAGGAGACCACCATGTCCAAGAGACCTCCTCTATTAGGAGACCACCATGGCCAAGAGACTACCTCTATTAGGAGACCACCATGTTTAAAAGACTACCTCTATTAGGAGACCACCATGTCCAAAAGACCACCTATATTAGGAGACCACCATGTCCAAGAGACTACCTCTATTAGGAGACCACCTTGGCCAAGAGATTACCTCTATTAGGAGACCACCATGGCCAAGAGACTACCTATATTAGGAGACCACCATGGCCAAGAGACCACCTCTATTAGGAGACCACCATGTCCAAGAGACCACCTCTATTAGGAGACCACCATGACCAAGAGACACCCTATATTAGGAGACCACCATGACCAAGAGACTACCTCTATTAGGAGACCACCATGGCCAAGAGACTACCTCTATTAGGAGATCACCATGTCCAAGAGACTACCTCTATTAGGTGACCACCATGTCCAAGAGATTACCTCTATTAGGAGACCACCATGTTTAAAAGATTACCTCTATTAGGAGACCACCATGGCTTAGAGACTACCTCTATTAGGA